CTCCAGTAACATGTATCTCCCTCTCCCCCACCCTCTGTTTTGGTGTTTCTCAGTAGTAAATATTTGCTTTTCACTTCCATGTTTTCTACATTCTGGGATCTGAGCTGTTCTCAAGGCAAAAGGAAAGGAGTCATGGTGGAACCACAAAATTGCTCTTAATGCTTCTGCTCAACAGGGCATAACTCGCGTCTACTCCCATTTAGTTATCTAAAGCAAGTCACGTGGGGAAAACAGATGTTATTTAAGGCAAGAAGTATGTTTCTCCACCAAAGAGGGTCACTAGGGGGGTTCTGTAGGAAAAGGTTCGGAGAGGAGTTTTGGAACTAATCATTAAATCTACTGCAGATGGATTTTTAAGCGATTGTAATATAATATGGTAGGTTCTTTAATGGAAGCGTCTGTTCTTGGAGCAGAGGAGGGAGTGCTTACATCTTACAGTTTGTCTTTTGAATTTAGAGCAAAGTGAAGTTTACAGCATATTTTAGACTCTGAATTTTCTGGAACGAGAGTAGAGAGAGCTGTGATAAATGCATTTTGAGAACCCAGAATTCACTGGCCCAGTTGGAATGGAAAGTAATGACAGTCATTTCTCCTTTCCAAGAAGGGATGTAAGGAGTTCTGTGGATTGCCGTGTCTGTGTGTCGGCACACGAAGAGCTTGCGAGCTGGTGTATCCTCAGAACGACTTAGGGAAGCACCCTTATGTCCACGTATGGGGAGGGAAGGGGGGGGCAAGCCAGGATGGTGGTGGAGAAGGTAGCATGAGTCATTCAGAGGCTGGTTCTTGACGCTAGTGGGTTCTTTGGATACCTGTGCCCCAACTTCCCTGTTGGCAGGAAATAACAGAGGGTTTAAAACTTTATAGTCATCCTGAAATGTCATGTGTTGTTACTGTTTTTAACTTTCTACAATAGAGCTCAGCTTCCTCTAGAGCCCACATTTCCACTGATGGTAACTCAGTCTCTTCTGGTTGAAAACTTCGTATCTTTTCTAGGTAGATATCAAATCAATTCAAATTGCTCTCTCTACCCTCTTTCCCTTCTTTTTGGGTTCTCAGGAGGCTCATGTGTTGTCCTGTCTTGGGGATGCGTATCTGCTCCCTGAATCTCCCTCTGGACATGTCAGGGCTCAGTGGGAATGCCTTCATCACCTGGGATGCTAGAAAAGACCAGAGGTTGGGGGATGACAGTGGTAAGGCAGCTATCTCAGATCCCCTCTGACATAGAAGGCCATGTGGTTATCATTTCCATGCAGATCCTGGGTGTTTCCTATTGACATGCACACAGTCAGAATTCCCCGCCCAGATGCCTAAGGCAGGATATGAAATGTTAAGTCCTTCAGCTTTCAAATCCCCAAATCTATCTGGGTGCTTCTAATCATCTCCTTCAGAGAACGAAGATTCAGGGGAGGCAGGAATCAGGCCCCGTACTTTCTTGTTCATCTTCCTCGGCCTAGTCGAAGCTCCTCCCCCAGTCCAGGACAGGATCTGAGAATCTTCCTCTGCTGTGAGGAACTGCTCTGATGTCATATCCTGGATTCTTTCTGCCCTGTGGCTTATAGTTGCAACACTGTGCTCTGTTCTCCAAGTTTGAGTCTCCGTAGTTCAAAACCATCATTTGTTTATTATTTATTATTTGTAGTACTTACTGTAGGATTTACAATATGCGTATCTAACAACACAGGCCACCTCCAAATGATGTAGTACTTTATGTATTTGTAAACATTCTCATTCTCTGTACACTCATATGTTTGACTTTTATATAAATGTTCTCAACCCCACACTACTACTACTACACTCTTGTTTTGCTCTCAACCATCCATTATCATTTAAAAGAATTAAAAGATGAGAAAGAAAATGTGTTTACATGTTGCTCCTTTCAAGCATTCTTTTTTACATTTTTCTAAATAAATGTTTCCTTCTAACGCCATTTTCCTTCCGCCTAAAGAAATCTCTTTAACATTTCTTTTACCGGACGTCTACTGTAGAGGTGGTGAGATCTCTCAACTTTCATTTATCTGAGAAAAGTCATTATTTTACCTTCATTACTGAAAGATATTGTTGGTTATAGAATTCTAGGTGGATAAGTGTCTTTTTCTTTTGGTATTTTAAAGATGCACAGATTATCTTCTGGTTTGCATAAATTCTTATGACGAGTCTGACATCATTCTTATCTTTGTCCCTCTGAATGCAATATGCCTTTTTTCTCTGGCTGATTTTAAGATTCTCTCTTTCTTACTGTGTGTGTGGGGGGGTGTGCGTGTACATGTGTGTGCGCGTGCCTTTAGCAATTGGATTATAATATGTCTTGACGCCATTGTCTTTGTGTTTGTCCTGTTTGGGGTTTATTGAGATTCTTGTATTTGTATGTTTATGATTTTATCAAATTTGGAAAACATTCTGTTATTTCTTCAAATATTATTTCTGTCCCTGGCCCCACCACCCCCCACCAGACTCCAAGTGCATGTATGTCAGACAGCTTTATATTGTCAAAGAGGCTCTGTTCATTCATTCTAGAGAGTTTTATTACTATAATTTTAAGTTCACTGGTCTTCTGCATTGTTGAATCTGCCGTTAATCTCATTCAGCAAAAATTTTATTTCAGATATTGCATTTTTTTCATTCCTAGAACCTCCCTTTGGTTCTGATTTAAATATTCTGTTTTTCTCATTATAATCGTGTTTTATTTCACAACTTTGAACATGCAAAATATACCCATAATAGCTACGTTAATGGGCATGTTTGCTAATACTATCATTTGTTATTTCTGGGTCTGTTTCTATATACTGATTTTTCTCTGGGCTGTGAGTCACACTTTCTTGCTTCTTTACATGTCTGGTAATTTTTTTATTGAATACTGAGCATTATGAATTTTGCATTTTTGGATGCTAGATTTTGTCGTCCGTCCTTCTACACACAAAAGGTGCTCCCCTCCCCCCCCACCCCAGCAGGTATTTTAGTTACTTGCAAATCAGTTTGATTCTTTCAGGGCTTACTTTTAAATGATTTTTGGGTAGGCTTAGAGTAGCCTTTATTCTATGGATCATTTAGCTTCTTTTCTAAAGCCTGATCCTTCTGGGTCCTTACTGAATGTGCCCTGAATTCCGGCAAAGCCCAAAACCCATCCACTTCAGCTGGTGAGTTTGCAAACAATTTGGGGCCCTGCGAGATCTCTTGGAATTGTTTGGCTTACGGCTGCCCAGACTATAACTCTTCTCTCCTGGAATTTTTCTCTTGCCAGGTCACGTAGAGTTTCATTCTACCCACACACAGAATTGATACTCAGCCAACAACTCAAAGGGACCCCTTGGCAGATTTCTGGAGATCTCTGTGCAACCCCCTCCTCTTCTCTTCACTTCTTTGTCTCGCAGACCATAGCAAAGGTAGCCTTCCCAGTCTCCCTCTGTCTTCTCAATTCGGTGAGATCACTGGGCTGTCCTTGGTTTCCTGTTCCTGTGCTGAAGTCTGGCCATCCCTTTTTTGCAAAATGCCTGGTGATAATTGAACTCAACTTTTTTCCCTCCCCTTTTCTAAATGACCACAGTATTGCACTATCCGTTTTTCAAAGTCTGAAAAATACTTGTTTGGAAGATATCAAACAGTTTTCTAGTTATTTATGACAAGAGGGTAATCGGAGCCCTCTTACTCCCTCCTAATCAGAAGGAGAAGTGCTCAGAGTTATTCTATTGTGAACCAGGTTTTGTTTTTTTTTTTTAAGATTTTATTTGAGAAAGAGAATGAGAGAGAGAGATCATGAGAGGGGGAAGGGCAGAAGGAGAAGCAGACTCCCTGCTGAGCAGGAAGCTGGATGCGGGAACCCCAGGATCGTGACCTGAGCTGAAGGCAGTCACTCAACCAACCGAGCCACCCAGGTGCCCCATTGTGTACTAGTTTTTTGATGACAACTTTCATCTTCAGAATTGTGGTTGGTACAGTGGTTTTCCTGAGAATGCCTAGGCTTTACTTGTTCTTGGTCAGAGAGGATAGATATACCTGAAATTTATAGGAATTCTATAAGGAAAGAAACTTGAATTCAAGGAAAAATAAGGATATTAATTCAATAATATTTATTGAGCACCACCTATTTGCTAGTACTTGCCCTCACTGTTGGGGATATAACCATAAAGATTAAAAAAAAAAAAAACAAAATCAATGCACTCCTCTGAGTGCATTGTAGAGAAAGTAGAGGAAGAGGCAACGAGCGTAATGAGTAAGTGAAATCTTAAAATTTATAACAGGTCAGATGGCAAGTGCTATGTGAATTGTAGAGGAATAATAATGCTCCCAGCACATGTGTGGCACTGGCTGGAAAACATGGCCTTTGTCCCTTCATATACTTTAACGATGGAGGCCATCTGTTTCGAGGTAAAGTAGCCAAGTGTATTACCATAAATGTCAATTACTCAAGGCCTGTCCCCTCGTGCTCTGCTAATCTCTGTAATTCACACGCACTTACCACGAAGTCATCCTCACGGAGGTGTTCCCTAAATTGTTTCTCTTCAGTTTCCTCAACAGGACTGGACGCTCCGTGAGGACAGGTCTCATGTCTGCCTTTGCTAACCATTTTATCCCCCGGCACTCCATACAGGTTTGGCATTTGGCGAGTGCTCAGGAAACACACAGGAGCCATTAAACACGTGTGTTGAAGAGCTTCGTGGCTGTACTGGTTTCTCGACGCCCTGCCTGGCTTGTACCATACATGCACACCGCTGCCCCTCCTTTTAAAAGTACTGACCAACTGCTGTTTGAAAGTTACCTGTTCTTTTTTTTTTTTTTTAATATTTATTTATTTGACAGAGATCACAAGGAGGCAGAGAGGCAGGCAGAGAGAGGGAAGCAGAAAGCAGCCTCCCTGCTGAGCAGAGACCCCAATATGGGGCTTGATCCCAGGACCCTGAGATCATGACCTGAGCCAAAGGCAGAGGCTTTAACCCACTGAGCCACCCAGGCGCCCCGAAAGTTGCCTGTTCTGATCACACTCTTCTTCTTTCTCTTTTTTGTAGCTGTGCAGTCCCTGCACACCCTAAATGACCAGATATCTCATTTTATCGTCACCAAGTCAAAGGCCCTGGAAGAAGACAAGGACCCCTTCCTACCCGCTGAGAAGGAGACTCTGAAGAGTTCCATGATACTGATGAGGCATCTCCTAATGGACGCTCAGGTACAGAGACGGACACGGAAATTCTACATAGAATCCGTGGTACCTTTTCTCGTGTTGTTTTTGGTAGAAGTTGTGCAAAATTGTTCAAATGCCACACTCCCAGCTTTGTGATGAACAGTGGTGTAGCAGACATTCTGATACGATGGGTATTGGATTTCTGGTTACAAATTATTGGGGATCTAGTATTAAAATAGCTTGGTTTTAAGTCACTGGAATAGGGCTTAATAATATATGTGTTGTTTCTGAGAATCGAACAGATCTCTCATTAGCCTTGGAAAAGTGAAAAATCCATTTACATATGAACTTGGCAGGCATCAAAGCTGGCAAAGGCTCTGGAGCGGTGCGGTATGTATTCCAAACAGCCTCGCTGAGCAGCTAATGAATATTTGGGTATATTTGATGCACCACCAGTAAGCGAATCAGCGAATCAGCGCTGGTGTGTGTGTGTGTGTGTGTGTGTGTGTGTGTGTTCTAATGCTTGCAATGAATTAATTACAGAAGGAATTTAGCCCATTGTTCGCTTTCGTTGAGATTCTTCCTCAAGGTTTCTCCTCGTGCACTATTTTATTGAAATGTTTAAAGGTAATCTATGTCCTCCTTCTGGCTTTGTTGGTGGGTCTCTCCAGATATGTTGGTAGGCAAACACCAGGTGTTATAGGAGAATTGATGGTTTTCTATGTTACCGAAGCCAAACTGAGCTAGATTTTATTGTCACTCCTACCTCCTCAGAATCTAGAAGTGTTCCCGAAAATGTTCTTTGGTTTTGGTGATGTTGTATCAGCTTGCCCCCGAGCTTTCTTCCTGAGTTAGTTTTCTGACGGACAGCAACGAGGTCAGATCGCGTGCCGGTTTCCTGTGTCCGGCCCTCTATCGGGTTTTGAACGCTGGTTTCTTGGCCTCTGTTTCTGCCATGGTGGTGTTTTATGTTTTAGTTTCCTAAATCAATCCTGAAGCCTGTCTCTGATACCAGGAAGACTTTTTACTGGCAAGACTCCAGTGCATTTCTCACCTGTCAATGCTTGAAGCTGCCGCATGGGATTTTTGAGCCCCGATGTTCAGATGACCCAAATTATGCAAAGCCTTTCATTTTTAGTCACTGTTCTCCCTTCTCCCCTTTATTATGAGCAGTCCATTTCTTTCTTTCTGAGCCTGTCTGGTGGAAAAAGAAAAGATTCTGAAGCTCTAACAGCCAATTTTAAAGACTCAGAGGGAAGAAAAAAAAAAAAAGTGGTGGTGGTGGTGGAATTTAGAACAATTTACCAAATAAAAGAGGGCAAATTATTCTTGAAAGGATTAGCTTCCTTCAGTGCCTGAACCCATTCCTATAGCTCACACCCCAGCCAAGGCAGCTAGCCTAATGATTCGCCGCAGATCTCATGCGAACTCCAGTTTGCAAAATCTAAGTAAATAAAAACCATTCATCTTTTTTCTGTCCTTCGCTAGCATCTAGAACGGGATTTCAGAAATGTTCACTACTGCTGAAGAAAACATTCCCCCCACCCCGAATGTTGGATTCATTTGTCAATTTTTATCATCTGTGGTGTTGATCACAACTTTCCCCTTTTTTAATCTAAGAAGACTGGAATATCCCATATAATGTGGTTACTGTGTACGATGGCATTACCTCATTCTCTCCTGATCCCTAGTCAATGCCTGCTGGAATTTTCTCAAGTAGTCAGATAAGATGGAGCAGGGTATGTTATTCCCCAAAATCATGCCTCCAAAAGGAGGGTGGGTTAACTCCTCATTTCTTTTGGCTACTTTTGTTCCAAGACTCTTCCATCTTGTCTTTCAGACTAATATAGGATGAGGTAAATTATGATTAATTTCGTCTAAAAATACCACCCTCATTTCTTTTCTCCCCAAACCGCTAACTTTTTGAAATGTTATTTGTGGTTATCTCTAGGTCTGTGGCTGAAGTCAATTAGAATTATGTCACCTAATAGCCCTAGGCTCCGCACGTCTCCCTAAGATCAGTGTTGCGAAACTCATAAAATGCTAAGGAACCCCAAGATTGGGGGTACAGTCAGGGGTGATATGCGGTTTTCAGTTTCGAAGGAGACAGCTAGAGGTACGTGATTTCCAAGGAGACTCATTATAGAGCATTTTTGGAAATTTGGTGATTTTCCATTCATGGTTTGACATTGCTTCTTACCTCCATTGCAAAGACGGAAGGGATGTCCTTATTTCATATTCTAAGTTCATCAATAAATGGGAGGTCAACAGAATGTGAGTATAACTTCTGTGTGCCTCCTCCCCTTCAGCTGCATTTTGTGATATTAATAGATGCGCAATATATCTGTATATAGGAGGACAAAATCTTCTCCAGAGCGGTGACCACATCTCTTAACTTGGTTGGTCTAATAAGCGGCTCACTTCCACACCCAGAGGACTCTTAATAGCATTAGATGATGATGAAATGCTCTGACATCAGTCCGCGAGTTGAATGAAGTCAGGCACAAAGGATTCCTGAGAACCTAGAGGCCACTCTGGAGAGTGGCTGCTTAAAAGGCATAATCGATTCAAGTCACATCTGTCTTGGAAGCAATAAATCCTGCTTAGGAGAATGTCAAAGGCAAAAGCATTGCTGGGCTATGAAATTCTACCTCTGAGGATTATAAAACAGTATGCACAGAGCAAACATGTCTCCCAAGTTTAATAGGGGTGCTGGGCAAGATTGGCAGGTGTGACAGCCCATTCTGGAGAACGGAACGCTCGCACTGGCAGCCCGGAGGCCTGCCGTTGTTTGTGCCTTCCCTACGGGGCTCTCTGAGCATTTCGAGGGTGTCTCAAAGAGGCCAGGCTCCTCTGTTTGCATTCCCTTCCCCATGTAGTCTGCAGCACCCCCGCCCCAGTTCATGACGCGTTACCGTTCAGACCGCACTGGAAACCTGATCTTGTGGCTTTTGTTCTGGAGAGTTCCGGCCAAACCCAGAGTGCCGACTCAGCCTCGTGAGTGATTAGATTCATAACGCCAAAGAGGCCGTTCCTTCTGGTGGGGATTGATTCTTTTACTCGTCTTGTGTGACTTTGCATGCTAAGAGGGGTTGATTACAGCAAATTAAATCTCCTATTGGCAGTTCTCTCCTCCTTCCCCCCAAAGACCTCGTATTATTTATTAAGGGGTGAACAAATGCTTGGAAAAACAATAAGATCGCTTTGTTGGCAGCAAGGTCCTCTCCCGGAAGGCTGGGCGCTAAAAGGCAGAGACTTTGCCTGCCCCATGGGCTCCCCTTTTTCAGCCACAGCAGCAAGGAAGGGCCCGCGTCCCCCTGCCCGGGCCTGGTGGAGCGCAGGCTGTGGAAGCTCGAGGCCCTTCTCCCTGGACCGCGGCCTGAATTTGAAGGTGGAGCTTGTTTTAAGCGAGGCCAAGCCCTAGTGCACCCCTCCCAAAGGTCCCACTCTAGGAAGGAAGGAAGTAAGACTGGCTACAAAAATAAACAGTGCAGCGGTGCCTGGATGGCTCAGTGGGTTAAGCCTCTGCCTTTGGCTCAAGTCATGATCTCAGGGTCCTGGGATCGAGTCCTGCATCCAGCTCTCTGCTCAGTAGGGAGCCTGCTCTGCCCCCACCCCCCCCCCGGCCCCGCCGCCTGCCTCTCTGCCTACTTGTGCTCTCTCTCCATCAAATAAATAAATAAAATCTTAAAAAAAAATAAACAGTGCAGCTGTCCTCTCTAAGCCAATGTGTGCCTACGGCCTCTGGCAGAAATCAAATGTTAGGCGGAAAAGAAATGAAATCTGCTTGGTTCTCTGGCCAGCCCTTTCTTGGCTCTTCCCTCCTCTTCCCTTTCCCTTTTGCTTTCTTTTAGCTCCTCCCTCCCCTTCACCTCTCCTTCCTCACTATACTCTCAGTCCTCTCCCCTCCTGCCTCCCTGCCCTCCCTTCCCCTCTCCTTTCCTTTCCTCTTCCGCCTTTCTTTCTCTTATTTGTGTTCAGGGAACTTGAAAGCATTATTTGCCTAAACTGCATATTCCCCTTGCCAAGCACGAGGGAGAGCAGCAGAGGCCATGGGGTGACTGGCAGGAGGCAAGCCTGGGGTTCGGGAGGTGGAAGGGGTTCCTGCCAGGATCTGATATCCCCTGTGATGGCCCTCTGGATAGTGTGATTTTTTTTTTTTTTTCCTAGAATTGTCTAGAAAACTCCTCTCTGCTGGTTGATGATACTTTCTGATTATTTCTGGCAACATCAGGCTAATTTAGTAGGAGTAGATTGGCTGTTTGAGCTGCCCAGACAGGGCCATTCTCTAGCCTGGCCTCGAATGGGGAAGTGTGGTCAGAGCAGAGACCCCAGAGAGGAAAACAGCTCAGGCTTCCAACAAACAGGCAGGGAGGGATGGCTTGTCAGCTTGTTTTGGGAAGGAGACCGTGGGAATCGGGTAATTGATTCATGACATTCGTGGCAGCCATACACCAGAAGAGGACCTCTCCCTTTCCTAGCACTAACCCTCTCCATGTGCTTATGAAGCCAGCACCGAGCTCAGGGCACGGACCTGGTGTCCCTACTAGGGCAGGTATCTGGGGCTTTCTAGCCGTAGCTGGCTTCAAGGTCCTGCCAGGAGTACCGGCCTGTTGACAGCCCTAGGGGCTGTCTTGCCCTTCAGTCACACAAACTTCTGCCCCAGAGTGGATGCTTGGCTCTCACGGTCACAGATGCTGGCTGTGGCTCTAAATTGCACCCAAGCACAGGTTCTTTTCATACTATCTTCTGAAACGTGACCCTGTATGGGAACAAGAGCCCAAGTGTCCCGACATAGTGGCACGCGGTGGAGAAACACTGTCATTAGAACTGGGGCCAAGACGCAAAGTTTTTAACCGAAGAAAATCACCCCGGGGATATGTTTAAGTCTATTCATGCTGTCAGATTTCCACCTCTTACAGGGCCTCAGAGAAAGAAATACTTAACTGGACGCTAAAGAGGTTAGTTCACCTAACTAGGAAGCTACAGGATAAGGGGATTGTTCAAAGGAGTCTCCGCTTATCCCCTCCAGTCCTCCAAGTGCT